CAGGCTTCTGATGCAAGGACTTCAACGGGGCAACCCCCCGTCGTCCCAAACAATCAGGAACGCATCGCAGCGTTGGAACAACTGGTGAACCAGTTAGTCCAGCAAAATGCGATAATTTTGCAACGCTTAGCCGCCCCCAACGAGGAGAGAAACAGTGAAGTATCCAACAATGACTCCCATAGGGTTAACAACGACGTTGAGCTTAGTTAAATAGGGGGTCAACAAAGGAGCCATCACCATCGGTCTCCTGAACGGAATACAACCAGGCTGACAGATCGTCTCGCCGCCCAATGAGCCCAGGCAGGTATAATAACTATACCCCCCTAAATACATCTGTAGAACAAGTCTTTCTGCAGATTCAAGATGACGCATCATTAAAATGGCCGCCAAAGCTAAAAGCTGATCCAACAAAGAGGTCTCGAGATAAATACTGTAGGTTTCACCGGGATCATGGACATAACACAGAAGATTGTTTCGACCTCAAAAACCAGATCGAGAACCTTGTTCGTAAAGGTCATTTACGCAAATTCACAACTAGAAATGGAAAAGGAGGCTCCAACCCGGCCCAGGAGGGCCGAGATGATCGCCCTCCTCAACACCAACCAATAGGTGAGATCAGAGTTATATCGGGTGGCTTCGCTGGTGGTGGTGTGTAATACCCCTAATTTTTAGAAGGATAGTTTTGGAATTTATTTAATTGCATTTTTAAGTTTAATTGATTTACTTTATTTAATTAGGGATTTACTTTAAGTTAATTGTTCTATTTTCTCTAATGGTTTTAATTTACTTCTTTGCTTATGATAATTTGGCTTAATTTACTTCTTTGTTTATGTTACTTTGAATTTATGAAATTTAATATAAATGAGGAATTAATGTGGTGTAATTAAATTGTTTTAAGTTAAATTAAATTTAAATTGGTTTTCACGTGAATATAGTTTCACGTGGTTTATAGTTTGCATTGACAGTCGACAGTGAATAACCTAGGTTTGCTTATAGGCTGTATTATACATGGATTAGGGTTTAAAGTTTAAGTTTATAAATAGGCTCATTACGGTGGTTTAGGGTTGAGAGAAACAATTAAACAAAAAACGTAAGGAGGCATAGAGGGACAGAGAAAGAAAGAGCAAACAGAGAGGTTACCGGAGAACTTGTGAAGAACCGTCGGTGTAAGGCAAGTTCTATAACTAACTCTATCTCTTTGACCCGTGTTCTTTGCATCCCTAATACAGTCTTAGGATGAAATAAAGATTAAATTAAATTGCTTTACACGTATATTGCTTCATAACAGTATGTTTTCCTGTATGTGTGTTTTGTTCGTTTTTAAACTGTTTGTGTTTAATTCTTATTTCAAATTGAATTTAATTAATGAATAATGAATTGAAATTACTCGGGAGCATCTTGGGTTTTAGTTTTAAACTGGAAAGAAAGTGGGTTTGAAAGATTAAACAAATTTGAACAGTATGTGTTCTTATAGGGGTTTTAATCCACTTAGAAATGGTTTTGCGAAATTCTTGTTTCATATGGTTTTGAATAATAAGTAATGAACTTAAACAACTTTAGAGCCCTTTGGGACTTAGTTTTAATCCATAGGAAACGTGGGTTGGAGGAACCAAGTTGCCGGAGTTGGAGAAGAAGTTGAACAGTATGTTTTCTTTTAGGTACATGTTAAGCGTTTTTAGATTATTCTGTTTAATTCTTGTTTCCACTGAATGTGATTCTTAATCAAGGAAGTTAATTAACTTTTGAACACCCAAGGACTTAATTTTAATCAGCAAGAAATTTGGTTTGGAGGATCAACACAGCCGAACACCGCCGGGATTGGAAAAACGACGCACAGGGGAAGGAGCCTGCTCTATTTCAAGTAGAGCAGGCTCAACTAAAAAGTGGAGCAGGCTCTACTTTGTAGTAGAGCCGGCTCTACTTGGTAGTGGAGGCGGCTCCACTTTGTGTGGAACCGGCTCCTTCAACGGTTTTCAGTTTTTCGCCTTTTCAGTGATGGTTTTGGCTACGGGTTTCAGAATTTGGTGTTTTCAGATGCTATTAGGAACTATGCAGGGATGTTCCAGTAGCATCTAAGTCTTATTAAAGTTTTGAAGGTGTGTTAATACATAATAAATTACAAAGAGGTCGGTAGTTTTAAACCGTTGTATTTTCAAGTGAACTTGTGGACTGTTTTGGAGGCAGAGGATTTTAAGTGCATAACCCTATGAGTTGCAATTTTGTCTGGGAATGGGAATATTGTTTAATCATTTTTCAGTGATTTAAATTAATCATATTAGATTACAGAATGATTATAATCGGAATAAGTGTCAGTAAGTCACTTTTAAGGAAGTTTACATGGTTAAGATTTTTGCAGAGGATTCAAGTTGTTAAATTCTAAGTTAGCAATTGAATTAGGGGTTTATGGTTAAATCATGTAACAATGGTATGAGTTTAAACAGGTCAGTTTATATAAATTCTGTTATCATATAATCAGAAGTTAGTTGATGTTTACAAAGAGTTCTTTATATCAACTTATTGGATGTTGTGGAGTTGGTATCAATAAGCATGTTAATACTGTTATTATTATTATGCTTGTTGTGAGTTATAGGGTGATTATATTTATTCTCTGCATTTAAAACTTGTTAGAGAATCAGGTACTGGATGTATTGAACAAGCATGCTAGTTAAACATTCTTGTTATGCTTGTGATTGGATATGTTGATATTGATATGCTGTGCCGTTATACATATATTATCAATACTGAATGGATGGTTTGTATGCACCGGTATGGGACGGTGACATACTAGGGGGATTAGCTCAAACGAACGCTAAGTCCTACCTACTCTGGATTAAGGGATGGATTAACTACAAAAGTTTAGTCCTACCTGTCTTCTGTGTCAAATCAATAAATAATTGAGTGACACTTTGGTTTGGAATGGAATTTAAATATATTTTTATGATGCCACGATATGAGCCTGAGACTCAGAGTCGTTTGTTAGGGAGCGTATATGCATTGGGATGCATAACTGGCTATGATGGTTGGATGTGTACCCTGCTAGGGCTAGGTAGTCATGCCCACCTTTAGGTGCGTTTTCGCATGGTGCCTACTAGTCAGGTTGAGATAGGCCTGTAGTCCAGTGAGAGTCCTGTAGTGTGATTATATATATATATATATATATATATATATATTTATTTATTTATTTATCTACGGACTATTAGCTATTGTTGGATTGGTTAGGATGTACATGCGTATCGGGTCTCTGCTTGGGTAGTAGTAGTATAGAACTTGCTAGTAGGCCTGACCCACTTATTATTTTTCAGGTGTTGGATGGTTGAGGTCTTAGAGCTTGTTCGAGCTGAGCAGAGACGATCTTTCATTCTACCGACGATGTAGGACTTCTTTCCTGATATTCGATTTGGGCTTTTATCTTCAGTTATTTATTTTCGCTCGGTTTGGATTTTTATGAGGGGTCCACTGGAGATGGATTCCCGAGTTGTAAACTTATGAAGTTTGGATTGTCAGAGTTTAAACATTTATATTTGAGGATTTTTAATTTAGTATTCCTTCAGCTTATTATTATTTCTTAAATTCATTTTGTATTTTGTGTTCGATTAAATATTAATTGTTTGATATCCTTCGGATCTGTGCTCGGACTTGATCACCCGTGGCTCTAGAATCGAGGGGTATCACATGGTGAGACAAGTTCGGCTCAGAGGGCTCATGCTAGGAGAATTCGGAGTTTTTCAGAGGTGAATGAAGTTGGAATGACAAGTCCTCCAACAAAATTACCTCGAGTTGAGGAGCCGGTCATAACCTTTTCTGAAGAAGATGACAAGGGAATTCACCAGCCCCATGATGACCCTATGGTAGTTTCCATGGTCGTTGCTAATTTCACTGTTCGATGAATATTGATAGACAATGGTAGCTCGGCTGACATACTATTTCTTAGGGCGTACGAGAAATTGAAAATTGGCCGAGAGAAGCTCCGACCCATGAAGTCACCACTGGTGGGATTTTCAGGCGACAAAGTATATCCACTGGGGGCAGTTACCCTTCCAGTTACTGCAGGAGCCAATCCAAAGCAGGTCACTGTAATGGTGGACTTTGTAGTGGTGGACTGCCCATCATCATATAATATTATCCTGGGGAGGACAACATTGAATGCCATGAAAGCAATCACGTCCACTTACCATATCCTGATGTATTTCCTAACTGAATATGGTATGGGAGAGCTAAGAGGGGACCAAATAATAGCTCGCGAATGTTATGTCGCCTCTCTCAGAAAAACAAAATCGCAAGAGGTATTTACGATTGAAGGGCTGGAAGGGAAAGATAGACCAAACTTTCATAGAGCGGAACCTACAGAGGAGCTAGAAGAGGTCATCCTTGGTGATGGTGAGCCCGAGAAAAAAGTGAGTACAGGGTCTTTACTCCCCCCAGGTATCAAAGATGAACTTACTCAATTCCTCAGGAAAAATCGAGACGTATTTGCATGGGTACATGAAGACATGCCGGGTATAGACTCCACTATCATGGAGCACCGCCTAAATGTAAATCCTGACTTCAAACCTATCAGACAAAAGAGGAGGACTTTTGCTCTAGAAAGGAATCAGGCTATATCAGAAGAGGTGGAAAAGCTCTTAAAAGCCGACTTTATTCAAGAGGTGTACTATCCTGACTGGTTGGCAAATGTGGTCCTAGTGAAGAAGGTAAATGGAAAGTGGAGGCTATGTGTGGATTTCACCGACCTTAACAAGGCTTGCCCGAAGGACAGCTTTCCTCTCCCAAGAATCGATATGCTCGTTGAGGGAACGGTTGGACACGAACTATTAAGTTTCATGGATGCATATTCTGGATACAACCAGATATCTATGTACACCTCAAATAGAGAAAAAATGGCCTTCATCACTGATAGAGGTTTGTACTGTTACAAAGTAATGCCGTTTGGGCTCAAGAATGCTGGTGCAACATACCAGAGGCTAGTGAATGCAATGTTTAAGCGTTAAATTGGTAGAAACATGGAGGTATATGTTGATGACATGTTGGTGAAAAGCTTAAAAGCTGAAGATCATTTGACTGACCTGCAGGAGACCTTCGAGGTACGTAGGCATAAGATGAAACTCAACCCCAGCAAGTGTGCCTTTAGGGTTTCCTCAGGAAAGTTCTTGGGATATATGGTAAGCAGAAGACGAATTGAGGCCAATCCAGAGAAGATCCGAGCAGTCATTGACATGAGATCGCCAAGATCAACCAAGGATCTACAACGACTAACAGGGAAGATTGCTGCCTTGAGTAGGCTAATCTCTCGGTCAACTGACAGGTGTCTACCTTTCTTTCGTGTGCTAAGGAAGGCTTTTGAATAGACCCTAGAGTATGAGCAGGCATTCAAAGAACTAAAGCAATACCTTAGTTCTCCCCTACTACTGTCTCGAACCATACCGGGAGATGAACTATACATATACCTTGCAGTCTCCACGACAGCTATCAGTTCAGCTCTGATACGAGAAGAAGAAGGGGTCCAAAGGCCAGTATACTTCGTGAGCAAAGCACTTAGGGGTGCGGAGGAAAGATATCCAAGGATGGAACAGTTGGCCTTTGCTTTAATTGTATCCGCCAGGAAACTGAGACCATACTTTCAAGCGCATACGATTGTGGTCCTAACAGATCAACCCCTTCGACAGGTCCTACACAAGCCAGAAAGCTCTGGTCGACTGATGAAGTGGTTAGTAGAGTTAGGGGAATTCGACATTCAGTATAAGCCAATAACAGCAGTAAAGACTCAGGTGTTGGCTAATTTCTTAGCTGAGTTTACCCCTCCAGAAGAGGAGAAACAACCCCAATTTTCGACAGAACCAGGTTTAAGTGATCAGATGAGCCCAGAAGTAGTCTGGGACTTGTTCATGGATGGGTCATCTAATGTTCAGGCTAGCGGAGCGGGGCTTGTTCTTGTCTCCCCAAAGGGAGAAAGTATACAGTACGCACTTCGGTTTGGTTTCAAAGCAACCAACAACGAAGCAGAGTACGAAGCCTTGATAGCAGGATTAAAAGTGGCAAATGCCCTAGGGGTTGAGCAATTAAAGGTGTACACCGACTCCCAGCTGGTCGCTGGACAAGTTCAAGCGGAATATGAGGCACGAGACAAGAAGATGAAGAGTTACCTACAAAAGGTGAAGGAATTAAAGAATCACTTCCAAAGATTCTCAATTCATCAAATACCACGAGAAGAGAATGGGAAAGCAGACGCTTTAGCCCAGCTAGCTACTGCATTAGAACCTGAGATCAATAAGAATATACCACTGGAATATTTGGACGAACCATCTATATCTCAGGAGAGACAAATTGAAGTGCAACAAGCGATATTGAGTGTGGAATGGGCAGATCCTATCATCAGATATATCAAGGATGGAGTGCTACCAACAGACCGAGCAGAAGCTCGAAAGGTCAAGATGCGGGCAGCTAGGTATACGCTTATCAAAGGGGTGCTTTACAAGAGAAGCTTCTCCATGCCGTATTTACGATGCGTTTCTAGCGAGGAAGCTGACTACATTTTAAGGGAGATCCACCTAGGAGTTTGTGGAAACCATGCTGGGGGTAGGTCACTTGCTAACAAGGCCATCCGACAAGGATACTATTGGCCCACCATGCCAAAAGATGCACTTGATTTCGTTAAAAAGTGCGACAAATATCAACGATTTGCCAACATCCCGAGACAACCGTCAGAAGAGATGACTCCCATGTCAGGACCATGGCCATTTGCTCAATGGGGAATGGACTTGATTGGCCTCTCGTCAAAGGCAAAGGGCAGACTAAGTATGCCATTGTTATGGTTGATTACTTCACTAAATGGGTAGAAGCTAAGCCTCTGGCCAAAATCACAGAGAACAATATAAGGAAGTTCGTATGGAAATCAATAGTTTGCAGATTTGGGATTCCTAGAGAGTGATTGTCACAGACAATGCAAAACAGTTCGATAACTCTGACTTCAAAAAATTTTGTTCCGAGCTCGGGATTCAAATTCATTTCTCATCGCCAGGACATCCCCAGGCGAATGGACAGGCCGAAGTCACTAACAGAACAATCCTTCAGATGATTAAGACTCGACTTGATGCTGCAAAGGGACTATGGCCTGAGCAGCTGCCGAGTGTACTGTGGGCTTACCGTACTACTGCAAGGACTCCTACAGGGGAAACCCCTTTTCTTTTAGCGTTTGGAAGTGAGGCCGTAGTACCTGTAGAGCTTGGCCTAACAAGTTTTAGGACGGAGCACTACGAGCCCAAGCAGAACGAAAGAGAGTTGGAAATAAGCTTGGACCTAATCGAAGAAAGGAGAGACCTAGCCCATATTAGGATGGCTGCCTATCAACAGAAGGTTTCCAAGTATTACAATGCTCGGGTCAAGCCTAGGAGGTTCTCAGTAGGAGATTTAGTACTCCGCAAAGTTACTTGGGCAACTAAGGATTCAACCATAGGGAAATTAGGTCCCAAATGGGAAGGACCGTACAAAGTTACGCGATGTCAGCGACCAGGAATATACTGGTTGGAGGACTTAAAGGGAAAGCCACTACCTCACCTATGGAATGTTGAGCATCTAAAGAAATATTATCAGGCGAGCTGGGTGAAGCTCATAATAATCTCCTTTCCTTGTTAAAGGGCGAGCTGGGTGAAGCTCATAATAATCTACTTCCCTTATTAAAGGGTGAGCTGGGTGAAGCTCATAGTAATCTACTTCCCTTGTTAAAGGGTGAGCTGAGTGAAGCTCGTATACATCTACTTCCCCTGTTAAAGGGTGAGCTGAGTGAAGCTCGTATACATCTACTTCCCTTGTTAAAGGGTGAGCTGAGTGAAGCTCGTATACATCTACTTCCCTTGTTAAAGGGTGAGCTGAGTGAAGCCCATATTCATCTACTTACCTTATTACGAGCTGCGTGAAAGTCGTCTTAATCTACTTTCCTTATTAAAGGGACGAGCCGACTAAAGATGTCAATAAAATCAAGTATAAAATAACGGCAGCATGCCAGCAGGGCAGCTTGCCAAATAAAGGCAGCATGCTGGCGGGGCAGCTTGCCAAATAACGGCAGCATGCTAGCATAACAGCTTGCCAAATAAAGGCAGCAGGGCAGCTTGCCAAATAAAAGTAGCATGCTTGCCAAATAAAGGCAGCATGACAGCTTGCCAAATAAAGGCAGCATGTCAGCAGGGCAGCTTGCCAAATAACGGCAGCATGCTGGCAGGGCAGCTTGCCAAATAACGGCAGCATGTTAGCATAACAGCTTGCCAAATAAAGGCAGCATGCCAGCAGGGCAGCTTGCCAAATAAAAGCAGCATGCCTGCCAAATAAAGGCAGTATGCCAGCAGGGCAGCTTGCCAAATAACGGCAGCATGCTAGCATAACAGCTTGCCAAATAAAGGCAGCAGGGTAGCTTACCAAATAAAAGCAGCATGTCTGCCAAATAAAGGCAGCATGCTAGCAGGGCAGCTTGCTAAATAACGGCAGCATGCTAGCATAACAGCTTGCCAAATAAAGGCAGCATGCCAGCAGGGCAGCTTGCCAAATAAAAGTAGCATGCCTGCCAAATAAAGGCAGCATGCCAGCAGGGCAGCTTGCCAAATAACGGCAGCATGCCAGCAGGACAGCTTGCCAAATAAAGGCAGCAGGGCAGCTTGCCAAAAAAAGCAGCATGTCTGCCAAATAAAGGCAGCATGTCAGTAGGGCAGCTTGCCAAATAACGACAGCATACCAGCATGACAGCTTGCCAAATAAAGGCAGCATGTCAGCAGGGCAGCTTGCCAAATAACGACAGCATACCAGCATGACAGCTTGCCAAATAAAGGCAGCATGTCAGCAGGGCAGCTTGCCAAATAACGGCAGCATGCTAGCATAACAGTTTGCCAAATAAAGGCAGCATGCCAGCAGGGTAGCTTGCCAAATAAAAGCAGCATGCCTGCCAAATAAAGGTAGCATGCCAGTAGGGCAACTTGCCAAATAACGGCAGCATGCCAGCAGGACAGCTTGCCACGGCAGCATGGCATGGCAGCTTGCCACATATACGAGCTGCCAATGTGGCACTACGACAAATATACAAGCTTGCCAATATACGACAAATATACGAGCTTGCCACATATACGAGCTGCCAATGTGATACTATGACCCCCGACTGTATTCGCGAAATGACAATATAAGTCAGGCTAATAGACAAGGCTCTGCAATTCTAATTATATATTATTGTGTGATATTTTGGAATTAACGTTCCGGTGGTTTGACAAGCAATCCTCCGAAACGGGGGGCAACTGATGGATGTATAATTTAAATATCCATAATTAAGGGAAGATTGCTAAATTAACGCACTATTGAGATATGCTCTACAGATTACGATAAGGATTATAGATTGAGATAGGCTTTACAGATTACGATAAGGATTAAAGATTGTGATAAGGATTAAAGATTACGATGAGGATTAAGTCTACAGATTACAATAAGGTAATTATACGTTACATCTTAACCTAAGCCCTATAAAAAAGGCGGGGTAATCAACGTTTGGAGGTACGCAATAAACCCTAACTCAATCGTCCACTGACTTGTTCGTCGGAGCCTACTCCACCGGTAACACATCGGTGTTTGTAGGATCACTTTTTCTTCTCTCTATTCAGGAAGTCGGATTGGATCAGATCAGATCCGGGTTGCGCAGAATCCATCCTCAACATATATATATATAATGGAGATGGAGGCGAGACTGGGGAGCTGAAATGATTTGCTTGTTTTTTGTTTGTGCAGGTATACTATATCTATATCTATATATATATATATAAAATAAGGGTATAATAGTAAATTTATTATTATTCTTCCCTTTCCTTTCTTTTTCCAAACATAATTATTATCCTTCCCTTTCTTTTTCTTCATTGACCAACCAAACACAATGAATGATTAAAATTATGCTTCCCTTTCCGTTCCCTCGTAACTAATCTTATCCTCCCCTTCAAACTCATCATACCAAACATATCCTAAGAGTCAATTTTAGAATTGAGGAGATATTAAAATAATAAATGTTGAACAAAATTACTTATCTATAATTTATCTAAATTTTAGTGGAAGTCAATGTAATATGCTCAAATCAAAATAACACGTGGTTTGTAACGTGTAACTGTCAACCAAAATTAGGATAAAGAGGAGATAGTTTGAATGGTTGATAGTACCTCGTTTAAATTGGGTTGGTGAGGAAGGTTGGAAACAATCCCAATGTTTTTTTAAATTCCAATAGCACAACCTAATTGATGTTATAGATATGATCATGTGAACAAACACTACTTGCGTGGCCTCAGTTAATAAGATCCACATGTGCATCCATCAATTTTTTACATTAATTAAATGGATTGTTACATAGACACTTCATTTTTTTTACACAGGTAAAATACAATAAATTTATCATTTAAAAGTAGGTTGTAAGAATAAAATTTTAAATAATTATCATTTAATACTTCATTTAAAAGATGAACAATGTTATTCAGACTTAACAGTTTGATTTAAGAATTTCTATCATGGTATAATAAATTCATGTTCATGAAAGTGTGTAATTATATTAAATCTTTTTAGTATCATATTCTTATTCTTTTCACGACCCTAAATTTCTACCTAATTAGTGATAATTTTTAAAAAGTAAAAAATCCAAACAAATAATAATGAGGCAAATTATTGGAATTTGTTGAACATATTGCTATTAATTGGTAACCATCAAGTTATGAACTGGCTTCCGTTTACCGGCTGATTGAATTCAATCAAATTTCATCACACAACCCACGTGAAAACTGTTCTATTACAAATGGATCTTAAAATTTAAAATAATAATAATAAAAAATTTCAAGCTTTAAAAAATATATATATTTTAATTTCATGTTCTCCAATTTAGAATTTTATAAAATGATGAATTCCTTTGCGATAATGTGAGGTTTCAATTTTTTGAAACCATCTAAAAATTTATTTCCCTACATGGTATGAAACTGAAAATTTATACATGATGGAATATTGGAATGTCAAAAATGAAATCATTTCAATGTTTGGAGTACAACATTATGGATCGCATCAATTTTGAATATTTTTGTAGTAACATTTGATAACCCAATAGCAAAAATAATCTTTTGAAAATTTTAACTTTTCAAAAACACATGCAATTAATTTATATTTCCCTCTTAAAATTTCAAAATTAATAAAGATATGACAATTTAGTTATCTACCCAAAAAATAAGTTGACAATTCAGTTTAGTTTTTGTCTTATTCAACCAAAAAAAACGAGAGTAAAGAATTGACAATTTATAAAGTTTTCAAATCATAAAAGACAACCTTGTAATTTACTTTTAAAAAAAGAAATGGTATGTGATATCATTTCATCATCTCACTTTACTTTTTTAATAAAGGAAATAGTACTATAACAAAATATCAGAAGTAAAATGTAAAATATTTTTGAGATAATATGATAAATAAATAAAAAAAATTAACAACAATTGTGTCATTTTATCCAATAATAAACAAAAAGATGAAGAGTGAGTGAAATGCAGGGAAATAAAATAAATACAATGGCTCAAAAATAAACACTAATATTAAATTGTTATATTAAAAAAGATAAGCATTTTGTTGTAAATTGACAAAACTACCCTTCACGCAGTCAAGTGGTGAGCCCTGGTTCGCAGTTACACTGGCCACACAGGGAGAAAAAAGGAAAACAGACAGCAAACATCACGTGCCTGACCATCACGTGCCCGACAACCAATTGTCCAAATCCTCATCACCGCTTACAGACTCTCCACGTTGACAAATCCGCCGGAATTCTCTTGTCTCCCAAGCCGTCGCCGGCGGCCGGCAACGTCACATTCCGACGACGACGACAACAAATCAACCAAAATGTTCTAACACAACATAGTCCAGATCGATACAGGTCGTATATACAGAGATCAGAAAGTACAACCACAGAAGACGAAGAAGCAGCAGAGCATAGACACCAAGGCCACGGACTCGAACGCCGTGACGAGAGACCAGACGAAGCCGTCGACGGAGAAATCGAGGTCCGGCAACCATCCGCGGAGGCTCTGTGGGTCCCAACTCGGCGAGAATCCCCATGGGATGAGAGTACTCGGCCAAGTCGGGCTCTGTGGGGTCCAGCTCGGCGTCAAGTATGAGACGAACAGCCTCGGCCACCGGAACATTGAAGTCGGCAGAGATAGGTTGAGTTCGATCCACCGATACGACCACCTCCACCCCGAAGGCATCACTTTATCTCTCTGAAAAACACACCCTCTCTCTCTCTCTAGGAATCCAATCCCCTTTATTGTAGTGGTTCCAGGAGTTAGTGGAGGTGGAATTTTATATAATCGTATGCTTTAGGTGCTTGATTGAGCATCATATATACTGTGTGTCTGTTAGTTTGATTTGGAATTTTGGACTATATTTGACCAACTCGGGATTGATCTGCGCCGTTGATTAAGGTCTAAATCGGTGGTGGGTCCCACTGCTTCGATTCAGATGAAACAAAAATGTCCGTCTGCTCAAGTAAAAATGATGGGTCGGCCCGAGCACTTGGAAGGAGGAACCAGATTAGGATGATGATCACAACCATTTCATGTAGACAAAAATCAAATGCATAATTTAGGAGAGTGTAATATTTTTAGGTTTTTAATTTGAAATTTGAGGAAATTGATATTAAAGTGTAAATTACATTTGATCTAATTTAGAATTTAAGTCACTTCTTACTATCCTTTTTAGTTTTTTTCAGGAGGACCTCATATTTTATTGTGAGATTAATTCATCTCAGGTAGCACAAGCAATACCTTACAAATTACGTGTAAGTTTACATTTATTTAAGCCGTATAGGTATCCACAAACAAATTATTTACCAAAAAAATCTTAAATTTGAGACCTAATACTTTAAGATGTGTCAAAATTCTGAATTCTCCCGAGATGCCTATTTGCTAGTCTCAAGCATAACATATTCTGTTTGGATAATTAAGGTGGGTTGTGAAAGTATACGATAGGAAAGAAAAAGAACAATTAGGAGATAGTATAAAGAAAATATTTTAATAAACTTGCCAATTACTATTATATCTTATAAAGTATAACTGTAGTATATTTACATACTTATAAAACATTCATTTTATTTTCTATACTCAAAATTTTCTGTTAATATAATAAAAGTAGTGTTTATTGTTTTGGAAAAGTTATATTTGGTAAAAAAATGTATTATTATTATCTTTTCTTTTTAGGTAATGCTTACTCTTATGTCATCATCTTTGAAAGGGTAATTTCGATCGAAGGTAATTTAACTTTTGTTCTTCATTAATTAAATGATTGAATGTAAGAATAATCTTGGAAAACGTAAGCATAATTTGATTTTTATTCTTCATCAATATTAGGAAGAAAGAAAGAGGGACGGAGAGAAAATAGGAAGAAATGAATGACCTTCCTCTATTCGGTAAAAAGATACAAGAAAAGAAATGAAAAATAATAAAAGAAAGCAGAATAAGAATGATTCGTTCTTCCTTTACAAAATTTCATTTCCCAAAAAATTGGTGAAAGACAAGTAGACTATTATAAAAATTTTAAATTAAATATTATCCTATATTATACAGGTTTTAAAGTACAATCATTTCATCTATAAATTACAATATTATAAATATTATTAAATATAATGATAAAAATAATTAAAACTTTATATTTTCTTATCTTTTAACTAACATAGTAAATTATAATTTTTTTTTATCCATCCGAACAAAAAAAAAAAAAAAAAAAATACAAAATATCTTCTCTAAAATATCTCATATATCCATTGTCATATAAATAGGACTCGATTAATTTAGCCGTCACTTGATGAGAATAATGAGTAGACTGAATAAATGTGTAGACTCAATTTGGCCGCCACGAGACCCATCATTTCACTCATAAATAGAACTCGGTTAATTGATTTCTTAATTTTCTTTCCACCCTGGGATGCATTCTTAGTAGATATTCGTTTTTTGCTCTTGGGAAAAAATTGATTGGCATTAAAGTACCTATTTTAGTGCAATAATTTTGTCCTCCAAAAGCAATAAACTTTTCCCAATTCTTATTCCTACACAATGTGATCAGATTACTTATAGATATTAATAAGAACTCCAAAAATGGAGAAGCATTTGTTGCGACCAATGCAAATCATCACAGTACTTTTTATCTTGAAAATTACATTGTCACAACAGGTTGTACTTCCTCGGTGTCTTATTAGTAGTTTATTTTTCTCTTTTTATATGTCTCAAATTAAATGTTTTATTTGAAAAGTCAAAACATGTTTTCTATATTTTTTCATTATTGTCTTTTATCTTTTTAAAAAATTTCAAACTTTGTAATTATATATATTTAAATTAAAAAGAATAATTTTGTAATTTTAAAAAGGGACAATACATTAATTGTATGTCCCCTTAAAAAATTATAAAACTAAAAATAGATAACTAATAAGAGAGAGATAGTAATAAACAAAAATAAATAAAAATATCACACAATAAGGTGATTGGGCCTCCTAAATATCTCTCTTGCTTACCGACTAAGCTTTTGGACATTACATGCCAAATCTTTCACTTTCATTGCTTTGAATTTCAAGGAAACACATGTCCATTAGGCAATTTTCCATTCCCACCCATTTTTTTTTTTTGAATTACTTAAAAACATTCAAAACCCTGGTGGGAAAATGACGCAGTGTTGCAGCGTGTTGGAATTAAATATTGAGGGGGTATGTGTGATTTAGAGTAAAGAATTATAACTTAATAAAAATGTTACGTTTGGGATATCAAATTAATGTCTTGAAATTTAAAATTAGAATAAATTTAATTTAAAATTTAAATTAATTTTTTTTTCAATTCTAAATGTAAGCAGCTAATTGGCGTTCCCAAATAACAAAAAGGGGTCATGCTCGAAGTCAATTATCTAGGCCTCCAATTAGCTAAACTTCGAAAATTTGTATGTTATTTATGTACCAAATATATGTTTGTTTTTGTGTGTGATTTACCCAGGCCTGGCCCTGGGCATAGGCGACCAGGCAGTCGTCTAAGCCTCCAATTTGAAAGGGCACGAGTCAAAGAAAAATTTCTTTGATTGGAAAGTCAATTATAAAAGTTAGAATAGTGATACTCACATTGAACACTTGTAATGAATTGTTCAACCGAATAATTTTTAATTATTAATTGAGTAATGATACTTACACCGATTTGTTACACCGAATATTTTTGATTGGTTATTTATGCATAGTACATGTAAGTGGATAGCTCCACTTATTTATTTATTCGATTTGTTATAATGAATTGTCATCCCTATTTCTTTTAATCGATAAATACAACTAAGTGGAGGGTTTTACTTTCTTATTTGTTCTCGAATTAACCAATTAAAAGAGTATATTTAGCAATTCACTACAAATATTCGGTGCAAGAATTATTTTCCACTTAGTTGTTGGAGGGCTCCACTTTCTTATTTGTTCCAGAATTAACCGATTAAAAGAGTATATTTAGCAATTTACTATAACCAATTAAAAGAGTATATTTAGCAATTTACTACAAAAATTCGGTGCAAGAATCATTTTCCACTTAATTATTTTGGAATAAGTAGATAATAAAAAATTATTGGGTTAGACAATGTAAGTTCTTATTTCATGGAACCAAATTAATCTTTTAGGACGACTTTACTTTTTTTTTTTTTCCTCAATTGTCATTGGATTCTTTATTGGGTTTTCATTATTGTAATTTTTAATTGAAGTAAGGACAATACTTAAGTCCTCACTAATGAGGATCTACAATATACTCACCGTCAAAGTAATATTATGAGATTGAGTTTTAGTTAAAATAAAATTACTAAAAATGATTTCTTTAATCCATTCACAATATGATTAATTTAACGGGTGGCTGATTCTCGATCTGACCCAAAAACTTAAATTATTAGGTGGGGTTAACACCAAGCCCATATAACCCAATCACTCTCTCATTGGAATCTAACCTGGGACAAATTACCCTTGTAATAGTTAACTATAACATGTGTGTGTGAGTCTGTTTGTGTAAACAAATAAAAGGAAATCAAAGAAGCCATTTATTCACATACGATTTATTAATTATTATTTTTTCCTCTTTAATATGGATCTAGAGAGAAGAAATATATTCGTGAGCATATATATATTTATTTAAAAACAATGAAAAAAAAAAAGAAAAAAAAAAAAAGAATGAATGAAGGTTATATATGTGTGTATATATGAGTAGGTATGATAGAAAAGAAAGAGGAAAGAATTTCAAAGTTAAATTGGTTCTAAAAGTATAAATTTTTAAGTCCCAACAAAAATAAGAAAGATGCATCCATTATAAATATTATGAATCAATAAGAGGTTGATAGCGGTGTTAGCAGGGATCCGGGAAGTAATTTTGCTTTCGAATTGCACTACTGACTTGAATAATTATATATTGTGGGGCCGATACCTACTATAATAGGGAAAAAAAATAAAATAAGAGGCTCAAAGCACTCCTAAAAATATATAAACAAATAAAGGGCCTCACTTTCAAATTTTTGAGAACTTCAGGACCAGCCCGGGCTTACCTACCGAATACAGTGTATGTGGTGTTAACAAAAAAAAAAAAAAAAAGTGTGTGTTTGTGAGGCCCAAAAAACTAGCCCTTTAATAAACAGAAAACGGTAGAATGTAAGCCCGACAGGTGGAAATGAGGCCCAAAAAACTAGCCTAGTGGCAAGCCCAGCAGCCAACCTGATCAAAATTCAAGTTATACCGAAGCCCAGGACCTAAAAAACATAGCAGCTCGTCAGACACTAATTAGACAGTGGAAATTGAATTTATATTGTAAAACTGACCCACACCCTTTTATCCACGCCGGAACTCTAACTCCACCCTTCCTTTTAAAAAGCTTTTCCTTTTTTTTTATTTTCCTCTGGCAAACGGAAGGAACAGAGGCCGAAGAGGCCGACATCCGAAAGTTCATGCGGATCCTGCGCTCTCAACAACGGGCAAGTCTTCAGCTCGGAGATTGGTTCTATTTTCTGAAAAGTTTTGTCGGATATAGCTGCAAAAGCTCAAACATCCAAACATTTCTAAGGTTTTTTTGTTTTTGTTTTTCTTGGCAAAATAGGAGAGGGGACTCAAACATGGGTACACCCGCTCGGGAAA